TATCATGGGAAAGGATGAAATACACAGATTGCTAGTTTGCAGAATGCCATGAACCTGCCCACATCACCTATTAGTTACTATTAGAGGGTGAGTCTCACTACACTGCTCATTTGGCAAGCTAGAACAGACTGAAGCCTCACAAATTCTTATGCAGCAACAGCATGGAAGCTCACAATAAACACTGCAGGAATATTTTGTCCCTTGTGTCTATTTCCAGATCCAAGTCTGTACAAATGAAATAAAGAGGAGCACTGGCAGCAGACAAGCAACAAAACAAAGAGCCAAAGAAAGAATGCAAAGCATGACAGATACAAAGCTCTGTGGTGCTTGTGTTTTAGAAGACTGTTTTACAAATCTATTCAAAAATGAGAAAAATTGTGTTGGTAGATATGAGAAAGTTAGAGATAGGGCTAACTGGTGTACGTAGACTGAGAAAAATGAGTTGACAAGGCAATGAAGCTAGAACTGTCAGAGATAGGAAGTATGACTGTTATGGTAGAAGTGAAAAAAAGGATGTAACTCATGAAGTGACAAATGACACAGATGTACAATGTGTATTAAAAAGCAAATTTTGTCCTCATTCTTCACGAATTTCACATTCAGTAAGCCTAATTGTGCAATATATTCTGTATTCTTGCAGTCTGCAGCCACAGGCTCTTCGAGGCTGGTTACAGTGAGCATGCTGGCTGCTGTAGATACCATTCACAGCAAAAAGAGATCTGTTGATCATATCTCATACATCTTGGAAACATGATGAGTATTTGTAATAACTCTTCTGAGAGCAGTTGACAGTTCCCCTCCCATTTTCAAGAAAAGGAGAAAGGAAGACCCAGGGAACTATAGAACAGTGAGCCTCATCCCCGTGCCTAGGAAGGTTATGGAGCAGATCCTCCTGGAAGATATGTCAAGGCGTATGTGAGGCTAAGTGATTTGAGACAGCCAGAACGGCTATACCAAGGGCAGATAATGCCTGACCAGTGTGGTGGCCTTCTACGATGGGGTGTCATCAAAGCCTTTGATACGGTCCCCATCACAGCCTTATCTTTAAAGTGGATAGATATGGATTTGAAGGCTGGATTAGTTGGTGGATAAAGAGTTGGTTGGTGGCCACAGCCAGAGTGTCATTGTCAACGGATTTATGTCCAGGTGGAAGTAAGCCATTTGTGGTGTCCCCAAGGTCTCTGTCTTGGGGTCGGTGCTCTTCAACTTCTTTATCAATGACATAGAAGGATTGAGGGCACCCTCAGCCGGTTTGTGGACACCAAGCTGATTAGTGCAGTTGATATAGCAGAGGGAAGAGATGCCATCCAGAGGGACTTAGACAGGCTTGAAAATTGGCACTACTGAGGTTTAACAAGACCAAGTGAAAGATGTTGCACTTCAGTTGGGGTAGTCCTGTATATTAGTACACTTTGGGAGAAGAACTGAGAGCAGTCCTGAGGATAAGGGCTTAGGGGTCCTGAGGGATGAAAATCTGAATGTGAGCTGGCAGTGTGTGCTTGCAGCTCAGAAGGCCAACTGTATCCTGGACTGCATCAAAAGAAGGGTGGCCAACAGAGAGAGGAAGGTGATTGTCCCTCCTCTGCTCTAGCCTTGTGAGGCTCCATGTGGAGTATTGCATTCAGGCCTGGGGTTCCCAGCACAAGAAGAGTGCAGAGGAGGGACACAGATATGGTCTGAGGGCTGGATCACCTCTCATGAAAAAAAGTGGAGGGATCTGGGCTTGTTCAGCTTGGAGAAGAAAAGGCTCCAGGGAGACCTCATTGTGGCCTTCCAGTACTTAAAGAGGAGCTTATAATAGGAGGGCGACTGACTTCTTACACGGTCTGGTAGTGATAAGACAAGGGGGAATGCTTGATCATTGTTCTCAGTATGAGATGAAGAAAAATATGAGCTATCATAAGACTCATTTAAATAGACCTGTAAAATTGTTGCTGGTAGAGTCTTAATCTCCAAAAGCTCCAAGGACTGTGCTCCACATCTTCAGTGTTATGTTCCTCAACTCTGATGACTGATTCAATTTACCACTGTTGTTCCTTACAGCATATGCCATACTATTGCTCTGCTCTGGGGCTAGAACTCAGAAGGTCTCAGAGAATCTACCTCACATTCAAAGTTCTTGATAACAATTTTCTCTTTTATATCATTTTCCTTATATCTAATGAAAGTTTTCTTCAATACTTCTAAGCTATCTTGCTATTTATGAAAATTCATTTGTTTCACTGAAAGTATTTTAAGCTACATTTTTCAAGTTCTGTAAACAGTTGCTGTAGTAGGCTTCAGAATTGCCAATTGTAGCTTAATTTCTGCTCCACAGATAGAATTAAGAGGAATCTGTACTAGCTGTACATTCCACAGAAGTCTTTTGCAATGAATCTTTGTATCTCTTATCCATGATTTGCAGTAAAATCCTGACAATATTAACCATAGTTTTTGACTTAACATATGGATCTATATGAAGTTACGTAATTATAGCTTTGACTATCCAACACTGTTTGAGAATAGTTTACCAGCCTCTGCAGAGGACACTTGCACTGCAGACTTCTGTGTCCTTTGATGGATGTTTCCTTCCCATGGCTTGTGACGGATGAGTCCAAGTTAAATGAGGATTTATTCTTCTGCTTTCTACAGAGAGTATATGAGCCCAAGCAAAAGACTGAGTGCATGTAAAAGTACCAGGACCAAGAGTAGGGCACTGAGACTGTGAAAGTTTTAAAATTGTTTTTTAAGGCAATAACTTGTCAAACCTTAAAATGTACTGCAGTATATATATATAGGTTGTCAGAAAGTGGTCCTTCGGTGGAAAAGCAATATGCAGCTGAGACTGATGAACTCTGTATGACATCAAATCAGTAGTCTTCCACCTTTCAGGTTCCCAGAACAAATCAGCAGAAAATTGAAGAAGAAGGCTCAGTTGGTCATGAAGAGCAATTAAAGACTATTTTAGATCTTGCAGTCCTAAAATGGAGAGTTTCTCTGTGGATTTGTTTCCAATAAAAACACTAACTGCCTGGCATGCCATTCCCAGGGGAAAGTAAGATCAAGACTTCTATCTGGAAATGCAAATGGGGTAACAAGCTTTACGAAACCTTCTCCCCCTTCCATAATTCTTTTTGGAGACAGACAGCTCTGTCCGGGCCAGCAGAAACCCATAAATCACAGAACTTGCTATCCTCAGTCTGTGAGTCAGTTCTCTCATCTGCACCAAGCTTCACTGGAATTCAAATGATACCGAAGATGAAACTAGAAGGGTGTTCCAATTTCTGTCTCTCTTCCTATCATCTGCCTTCCAGTATTTGAAGGGAGTTTATAAACATGAGGAAATTTTTTTTTTTTTTATGTAGACAGTATAGAATAGATAGTAATAGGACAAGGGGGAATAGTTTTAAAGAAAGGGAGATTTAGATTAGATATCGGGGGAAGTTTTTTACTGAGGGGGTTAAAATAAGTATTAAACAGGAGAATACAACCCAAGCATCAATGACTGGGATGGAGGGTAAAGCTGGTTTCAAAGAGTGGTGCTTATGAGAGAAAACTCTGGCTAGAGAAAACTCCAAGTTTCAGCTACCTGTCCAGAATTAGACTTGGCTATATGTTGTGGCCACATCAACAAGATTTAAAATAAGCTATTTTAGAAAATAAATTAACATTTTTCATGATAAGTTACAGGACTTTTCCTAATGAAATTGAAAAAAGCTGTGTAATAATACATATTAAGCATATATACATATACATATATATACATATATATATGTATTTGTATATTTATGCTGCTCACATGGTGAATAACTTCATTCTATGGTACTAGTTTATTCAAATGATGCACAGATTTTAATGTATTATTTTTGACTGATACACATTATTACTTGAAATGAACGTCTCTAAAAGCATTGTACATCAAGTTCTGTTGTCTTAGTAATATTTTTTCCATATATGTGATTCCAGAGTTTATTAAATGCATAATTTTTTCCAGATCTTGAGTCACATTGTCTGATAATGTACATCTTGCTTATGGCCTTTTATTAAGAGCAGCCAAGTTTCATGGAACTGTTTAATGCAGGAAAGAACGATAACACCAAAAATGCTTTTCAGCTTAAGTTCTAGCTGCAACATTAATGCAGCCTTGTTCAATTTCACACAGCAAACATTGTGGAAATAGTTCTCCACTTCCTGTTGCCCATCTGGCTTCCATCTTGCAGAAACTGATTATGCTTTTCTTCTCTATGCAAGCTCCCAGTGTCAAGAATTTAAACTCCATGCTACAACTGAGGACTGAATTAATCCTAGAATTCTGCAAAGTGGCAGATTAAGAGTGAATTAAAAAATAACCAACAGAAAAATACTAATTCTACACAGACTAACAGAAATGCTTTTTCAGTATGAATGATGAGATTGTTATGACTGTGCAACAGAATCCATTTAACAATCACAGCATTTACAAAATTTGTTATTACTACTGTAAAGGACACAAATGCAATAAGAGGTGTGTATCACCAAATAGTGAAACTGATCCCTACAGGTTGAATTATATCAATAAACAAAATCATCAAAGGATAGGAAGCAATTTGATTAAGTTAGTAAATTAACACAGACCATGTCTTCAGTATCATAACTATCAGCTAAATTTCTCACAGTTATCACTGCTTTTGTGACTAGAGAAATAACTGTTATTTATGCCAATATTACTATCAAAGATGTACTAAATGCTTCCACAGAGATTTTGAAGATGCTTTGATATGAGTGCAAGAATAAGAAAAAAAAAGTACAACGAAATAAAAGCTATTATCAACAAAAACTAATGCATTTCTTCCACAAAGAATCTATGTGATTTCAAGTTGTTTCTTCAACTCATTCACAACAAGATTGTCTTATTGCAGGCATTTGGTATTGGTTCTTTAAAACATAATCAGAAAAAAACTACTTTCTATTTGACCCCATCTGTCTGATCCCATCCCAAATACATCAGTTAAAGTTGACAAGCTTTTTATAATTTTACTTACCCTCATCCTTCCATTTCTTATTGCTGGTCCATCTTCTGCTAACCTCAGCACAAATAAATCCATTTTGTATTCCCTTCCTCCTCGAATACTAAACCCAAAACCTTTGGCTCCCTTCTCTAAATCAACGGTGAAATAATCGAAGTCCTATACAGAAAAAAAACCAACAACAACAAAACGGAGGACAATTAATCATAATAATAATCAGTGACATAATAGGCATTAAAAAAACTTTAAAATACATCTCTTCAAATATGCATCTACTCGTTAATACAAGCAAATGCACCTTCAATGTATAATTCTGCACTGTCAGGATAGATGAGAATAAGAACAACTGTTTTGGTCATTAAAATTGGATTTTAGCAAATATAAATGCCTACATCTAAACTATCCTGAAATGATGTCACGCAGCAGTTATCTGAATCAAAACTTTCAGGGTGATTTCCACATTCACCCTCAACACTGTCATGGTACCAAAGGGCAAGGTTTTATGTCTATACAGAAGTTCTGATCTGGCAAGTGGGATAGCAGGCAGTTCCTGTACAAACACCGTTATAATGCAAAAATTAGTAGTAGTGGTACCTCCTAAATTCCTGGCAGAACTTATAGAATCATACAACTGTTTGAGTTGGAAGAGACCTTTAAAGGCAATCTACTTCAACTCCCCTGCAATGAACAGGGAACCTGCAGCTAAATCAGGTGCACAGAGCCCCTCGAGTGTCTCCAGGGACGAGGCATCCACCACCTTTCTGGGCAATCTGTGCCAGTGCTTCAACTCATCTTGCTCAGTAGGTTGGACTGCATGGAGTCACAAAGAGCAGCAAATCTCCTCACTTCAGGTAAAATATGTGCCTTGAGGAGGAGGTGGGAAGTGAGGGGTTTGAACTTCATTTGTTCTGCATCCTGTAGGGACTGAGATTCATATTTCCAGGTTTTCCTTGGCAGATCTGAACTACTAGTACCACAGAGGGGTCTCAGTAGGAACTTGCTCTGTTGCTGCTGATCCACTCACTGGCAGCCAAATGTGCAAAAGTCACGGAATCAAGAGGAAAACAACAGCAAACTTGAGCTGTATATACCAGTGGACAGAGAATTAAATAGATCAGGGAGAAATGGGCAGCCTAGGCAATCTCTAGCTGCTAAACAGTGTCTCTAAGGCTGTGGACACAGGGACAGATATTTCCTTCTTTGAAACAGAAATGAATTAACTCAGAAGTTTCTCTGGATTCCAGTTAAGAATTTGGATATTTTCACTGATAGAGTTCATGTATGGAAAACACAGGCATGGCATGGCAAGGCATGGAAAACACAGACACAAAAATAATGTCTACATATGGTTTCAGCACACAGTGTCCAGAAAAACGTACTCTTATTTAATACATTTTTGACCTTTGTGGCCCTTTTTTTTTTTTTTTCTTTTTTTTTTTTTTTTTTTTCCCTTGCATACATGTAAGAAGAAAGGAGGATATTTTCATCAGGACTTTAAGCTAGATCCTTAAACCTTCACAAGTGTCAGTAGATATTTATCATCAGCATAGTCCTTTCCAAGGTTCATCTAATATTTATTTGAGTTTGTGAGATCATGCCTGATCTCATAGAAACTGGTTGCACAAGCTTGTTTCTCTTCATCCAGACTACTACTGACAAAAAAAGTAATTTTATAGATCAGGATTCACTTTTACCTATTTATTTATTTGGATTAGATAAAGTCTTGATTTTCAGCAATGCTTTAGAAATGCCATCTCACCTAAATACTTCTGCTGATACACGGACAGCTTATTTTAGAACTTTGATTTTACCTCTCCAGTACCTCAAAAACAGCATTTATTTAACACTGTAGTCGCACAATTAGAAATGCAGCATTATTTGGCAGATCACAAGGTTCTTCATTAATATTAATGGCTCTTTATTCATGTCCTCTACACAGAAACAGTAACTCAGTGTAAAAACAATGAAGGTGCCTTTTCCTCTTGTAACATCAGCTGCTTTAATAATACATGATCTCTCTCTTCCAACTACAGCTTTCCATTGAGGAGAGCTGTCAGCATTTTGTACCTGGGGCTGTCTGTAGTCTGACAGGGGGTACTGCCGGGTGTCGGGAGAGTGCTGCCTGTAGTCCAGCAAGGGTGGCTGCCTGTAGTCAAGGGGTGGTGGCTGCTGGTAATCCATCACAGGAGGATGCCTGTAGTCCAGGGGAGGCTGGCGGTAGTCAGTTGAAGACTGCCTGTAGTCTGTAAATGGAGGTTGTCGGATATCAGGCTTCACATCCTGTCTGGCTTTTACTTCTGACCTATAACTGAGAAAGGCAAAATGGCTTCATTTCAGAAAGCAGCAAAAGTGTGAAGAAATATGCATTACATGCCATATCCAGGAGTAAAAGCAAATTGCCTGGCTGCAAAATTCCACAGAGCAAATTTTCACAGATAAGCAAAACTTTTGAGGGTAAATAGTTGAGGCATCCAAAATCGGCAAGCGCTTCTGAAATACAAGCATAAGCATTTCTCCCTCAGGTCATACTGTGTAATTTTCCAGCTGCTATCAGTGAGATTGGGATTAGGCTCAGAGGGAAAGACAAAGAAAGAAGCATCCTGATTCCCTTTTATCTTGCCTGCCTGAAAGATGAAACTGCATGTAAAAACCCCAACAATGCTTACCTTAAAAGAGTCCACTAAGTTTATGACATTCTGTCTCCGGAATTAAGATTTCTATAGAGTAAATGAAACAACAGTGCAGACTTTCATAGCCCCTCTGCTTCAGTGACATAAATCATTAATATTGTGAACTTCTAAAGGTTAAAAAAGGATGCATTCTTTTTACTAGCTGCTAACTTTCTAATGGAAGGCATTTGATACAAAACACGTTAATACAGTGTTTATTATTACTGCATGCACCTTGCAATAGTGCCTGGCTGCAAGCCCACAGAACATAATCAGTAGTTATTGAAAGAAGTCACACAGGGTAAAAGGAAAACAAATTTGGTTAATGAGGAATTAATAAGAAATAAAATATTGCTTTAATTGTCAGCTGGTTAAAGGAAGATGAGTTCTAACATTTCAAAGAAAATGGGACTTTCTGTAGTGCTGCAGCTGACCAAGTGACTGCGTGTGTATGTGACTGTGAAAGCAATTTCGAAAAGAATTTATTGATTGAAATAAATGGCTGGATGAAGGTGAGCATTGGTTTTGCTCATGTTAATTTATCTCTGAGAAGATAAGTAATCGATCCAAACAATTTGGAATGTTTTAGATACGTTTCAGAATTTTGTTACTTTGATAGTGCAGTTACAAAACCACTCTGGCAGGTCTTCCTACACACTGACTTCAATTAACTCTGTCTCTGACCAGACACGAAAGTACCAGAACCACTACTTTCCTTTAGCATTTATGAGAAAATGGAAATAGCCTGCTGCCAAACAATCTTTTAAAACCTGTACATCCACAGTGTCTACAGTAAGACTTGCATGTATACATGCAATCCTCTCACTTTCTTTACTCAGCATCTTAATCCCATGTAAAAAGAAGATGGAGAACAAGAGGCTTAATGTGATACTGAGCCTTATTAACAGTGAAATAAAGAATACTGATTAGGATCTCTATGAGTTTTAAGCATCTTTTAGTATTTTAATTTTGATACAGAAGCAATATATGTGACTAAACAAACCAGATGTAATCATATTTATAAAATCTGGTAACAGTCACTTTACAATTAGCAATAGTGGTTCTTTTTCTGGACTAAGAGTCAACCTTAGGCAGGTTCTCAGTGTTCTACCACAGCTGTATCTAAGATGAGAATGCTTTTATTTACAGCTGTTGAGTAGGTAAATGGACTAATGACCAATTATAGATCATGACTTTCAGTTAAACCATTACAAAATTTCTTTATGAAACTTTAATTAGTAACGTTTACAGATCACCCTTGAAAATTCCCAAATCAGCAGATATTAAATATTGACTTACAGTTACCCAGAGAGACTTTTGTGAAAGCTGTACACTGCATTTCGTCAGAAGTGCATGCCTTGTAAAAACTGATCACTTTTGGAGAAATATTCAATAAAATATAATGGAAAGAAATCTGCCAAGTGTGACTAATTGAGAGAAAACTCTTTTGGGCAAGTGAAGGTACTACATCTGCTGAACAAGAAAAACTGGAGGGTGCAGTGCATAACAACTGAACTCAAGTATCTCCAGAAGCAAAAAGTTAAAATTCTGTAACCAGTACCTACTGTATGGGGACAAGGGCCTTGACGTATGTCAGTTGCTGAAGATTAGCATAAAGACAGCACAATCAGCTTCATTTCACACACCAAAAATTAATCTGAAGACTAAATAGCGTTGATTGGAGATCACAGAAAGCTGTATCATTGCATAGCATGAGTGTGCTTTTGATATATTAAGCATTTAACACATCTGTCCCCTGTCTGATAAACTTTTTCAGTGCACATAAATTACTTATACACGATAAATTGGCTGGAAATCTATGCACCATGGAGAAAACCTTTAATAAAAAATATCTTCGTGACTCCAGAACTGCAATGAGCTAAAGAAAATGACACTTAAGATAATGGGAAAAAGGCCATATCATCATCCCATGTTGATAGATCTGCTTTGTGACTGATAACATAGTAAGAAAGTCCTATGCTATTTATGAAATGATTAGCAGGGAATATGCTAGTATTCAGCTCCCTAGTAAAAACATGATCCCAGTAGATATTTAAAGAAGTTTGGGCAGATCTCTATAAAGAATAATATTAGCCACAGAATCACAGAACTGGGGTGGAAAAGACCATAAAGACCATTTAGTTCCAACCCACTAGCATATGCAGGGACTCCTCCACTAGATCAGTTTGTCCAGGACCCCACCCAGCCTGGCCTTGAGCACCTCCAGGGATGTGGCATCTATAGGTTGCTCCAATGCCTCACCATCCACACAGGAAATAATTTCTTTGCACTATCTAAGTTAATTATTCCCTCTTTTAGTTCAAAATTGTTATATCTTGTTCTATCACAACACTCCCTGCTAAAGAGTCCTGCTGCCTTCTTGTAGGCTACTTAAGTTATGGCAAGGCCTCTATAAGGTTTCCTGAAAGCCTTTTCTTCTCCAGCCTGAGCAATTCCAGCTCCATTAGCCTCTCTTCTAAGGAGAGGTGCTCCAGCCCTCTAAGCATCCTTGTGGCTCTCCTCTGGACTCACTCCAACAGCTCCATGTTCTTCTTATACTGGGAACCCCAGAGCTGAGTGCAATATCTGCAGATGGGTTCTCATGAGAGTGGAGTAGAAGGGGAGAATCTTAACCTGCTGGCCACACTGCTTTGGTGCAGCCCAGGCTACTCGCAGAAGACATGTTAGCACAGTTTACCACCTGTGAGCATGATCCCAGCAGCACTGGGTGTTAGAGACCATGCCATCTCCACGAGGGAACTGCAGGCCGTGAAGTTGCTATTTTCTTACCTGTTCTCATGTCCCTGCAGCTGCAGGGGCTGTGGGAGTGTGGGCTGTGCCACGGGGCTGTGCTGGGTGACGGGGCTTTGCTGCTGGGCCAGGGGGCTCTGCTGTTGCTGCTGCTGCTGCTGCTGCTGCTGTTGGGCCAGAGGGCTCTGCTGCTGCTGCTGCTGCTGCTGGGCCAGGGGGCTGTGTTGCTGGGCCAGGGGGCTCTGCTTCTCTGAGCTGGGTGCTGAGGCTGGGCTGTTCAACTCTGCATAACGGGAAGCCAGAGATTAAAAAGCTGTCACAGAATGGCATTTAACAAAGGGCAAAGGTAGCTGATGACCATTGTCAGTTGCACTCCAGAAATGTATGATTTGTCCCTTTTGCTCTCTTGGGTTATAATTACAATTTAAGACGTCTGAGGCTAATAGGCTCCTCTTGGTATTCTCTGAGATCTGAAAGCCTGGCCAATTCTGCAGCTCTGGTTGACAACCTCATTATTTAAAACCCAAATGAACAGGGCAAATGGCTTCCATGCGTCATGGTTGCTACGAAAGCCTGGAAATACTGATATTTGAAAACTTTTCATTTTGAGAAAATGAACGATTTTAGTGCTCTCAGCATTATTATGGGATGACAGATGTTGTCATGAAAGCTAAACCACTCGTGCACTGCTCTTTGAGCTCAACAAGAATTCCCTGTAGTTTTTGCATCTTTTGGGACTGTGAACAGTAAAATATTATTGATGCCAAATGACCAGGGCTTCACACTGCAGAAAACCAGTCTTCCTTTTTCCAAACAATGTAAAACTCAAAAAGATGGAGAGTCTGGGCTGGGAGATGGCTTCTACAATCAGGCATTACACTCTACCTTCACATTTCACCCCGAAGACACATTTGGCATCAAACTTATATCGAATGTATTTCTCCCAGCACACTGGCTCAGCATTGCTCGGAAGCATATGAGAAACTCCTATTGCCAGAGGATGGAGAACTGCACAGGTCATCATGTATACATTATCAACAGCAAAGTATACACTGTTTTTTTTTTTTTATTCCTGCTTGCAACAAAATGAGTGAGGCCAGTGTGGCCAGACAATAGGTAGGCAAGATCCAGATCTTGCCCAGATCTTTGCATTTGAATCTAGTTTGAATTTTGAACTATTTTATTTTACATTTTGTAACAAGTGAGTTTGTCTCATTTGACTGTGCTTATAACAGCTTTCTGCTTCTTTAATTTATGCTCATAATTGTTCTAAAAGTTTAGGATGCTTTATTAAAAATCTTTTCAATTTAGGCTTAATCGTCAAAAAAGCTTGTATATCTGCACTTAAAGCGCTCCTCATGCAGGCATAAGCAATACTTGTCTGTGTAATTACTATGCTTAAGGCTTTAATTGCCCATTTTGCATCTGTGAGCCTCTTTTGTATTGCAGAGTTTCAGAGGCAGAGACTGAGAATATTGTCCTTGGTTTCTACATTACTCTCATAACTATGGATGAACAAGTCAAATCATAAGCTGCTTCTAAAACTGTTTTGCATTTATATGGTATTTTTCACCTGAAAGTACATTACAGAGGTATTAGATTTTTTTTCCTGATTTATAAATTGGGAAGCTAATCCCAGAAGGCAAATGAGGCATCCAATGTCACCCAGCCACACGGGGCAGCCTTGCCTTGCACACACAATGCTCCACCAGCAACCGAGAGCAGCTTGTAGCACTGCATCTGCTTTCCTTCTAGTTTAACGTTCCCATTTACTCAAATGGGAAATACTTACACGTCAGTAATTTGCTAATATGCATTATTCAGTGTGCAAGGAAAGCCTAAATAAACTGCATGGACTGCATACAGCAAAACACTAGTTTGTAGCTGCTCACAAGACTGACCTCTGGTGATCATACACTACTGTTCTTGCAGCTCTCTGGGGTGAATTCTGGGCTTCTGTGTTTCTGTGTTCTTCCCTTCACTGAGCTCATTTAGCAAAATAGGCACATTCCCTCAGTGACAATCCATGGCCAGTGTCAGGCTAATTCCTCACCCAGTTGCTGGATGCAACAGCAGAAAGTGAGAGTCACTCAAGTAATTAAGTAATTGCATTACCTCGTGTATGTGACTCTTGGTTCTGATGGTAATCAGACCATTAAACTACAAAAAGTCCTGAAATCAACTTCAAAACCCATGAAGCCAACATCAAAGGACCTCCACTGATAAGCCTGTGCAGTAATGATCAGAATAATTAATCTGTCTCCTTATCCTCACCTTATAAATGAGATATTTATAGTTTCATGTCTTTCCTGCCTTGTTCTCTTATCCTTGCACATGTGGAGGAAACTACCAAATCTGAACTCTTCTTTCACATCACTTTGTCACAGGTAGCTGATATTGGAACATGCCTGGTGACAGCCATTGCAGTGCCTTGTCAGTCACTTTGCTGACTTGAAGGTTTTGTTCAAAGGACATGAACTTGAAATCTTGCTTTTTTATAGGATGCTTTTCCATGTAAAAGGCAGTTCTTACAGAAGACATGAAAACTGAATTTCTATTAATCTGTTCTCTCTCAGATTTCTCCAAATTTCCTTTGAATACCTTTTGCATAACAAGAAACCTTTTCAAGAATTCAGATATTATTCCAGCTGATTCTAAGGCTGTAATTTTGGTGTACTGTATGTTACGGCTGAGAATGTGAAACAAAAGATGTTCTTTCAAGCACTGACATAATTCAAGCTAATTGGAGGCTACTCAAAATTTTCTTCCTGTTTTTAAGGGCCATTGACTTACCCTCCTGAGGAATGATGCGAAGTGTTACACTGAGACCTGCATCTTTAATTAGCTTCACAATATCCGCATGAGGCATGTTAATGATAGACTGGCCATTCACAGCTAAGATCCGGTCTCCGACTTTAAGTTTTGCACAGCGATCAGCAGGACTTCCATCAATTATCCGCCCTATTTTATGGGGTACAGCTAGACAAGGAAGAATAGTCACAGTTAGCTTACGCAGCAGTAAGTGGTGGTGCTACAAACAGAAGAGCTAAACTGAGCTAATTTGGGAGAAACTTCCACCTGAATGAAAAGATACTTTGTGCATAAAACACTTGGCCTTATACAATGCCATCTGTATTAAAACAACATAGATTTTGCTAGAAAATCAGAATCTAGATGTGCATGGCATATACATACTAAGTCCATCATCATTTTTATGGTTCAGCTAGTTTACAAACCAGGCACGTAACAAGACAATAAACAGATCAGAAGAAGAATAAGGCATTAAAACACTGAAGGGGATAAATTTTCACATTAAGTAGTAGTCTTAAATTGTCTCCCACTCTGAGTTTACAGAATCCTTTTGTCTGTATTTTGTAATACAGCCTCTACAGACATGATTTATTTTATATACAAACATTTTACTACTGAAAGTGCCCAGGGTTCACTACATTGTTCTCCTCCTCCACACAAACATTAATTGATAAGCAGAAATCATACTGAAGATTTATAGAGATGTGCAGTTTTCTAATTAGATGCATGCCAGCATTAATTTGCAGTTAATTATGAGTGTATAGACACATTAACTACATCAAATAGAAGCACACAAATACATACACATTCTTAAAACTGTACAGATCAACTTTGCTGCTTTTGCTCTTTGTGGTTCTCCATCTCTCTGTGTGCTCCATCTGTTCTCTTGTCCCGTCTTTTCCTTCATTTCCCACTGAATTTTCTGATGTTTCTCCTCCCATTTTTACCTAAATGGATATGCTATAGCCGACTTTTCCCATCTCTCCATCTCTCCCCCAAAGAATATGGTATTTTTCGTTTTATTACGTAAAATATATTTATCACAATTTCATTTGACTGTTTATTCTATTAATATCATAACAGTGTCTAAGAATTCCCTGAATTCCCTAAGAATCCCATACTTCAGTCATAGCAAACTTAGCCCAAAGCTGCTCTGCCTCGCTGTCCACCTCCAAATGGTATTTAAAAGCATTTTTTTTCTTTTTAAAATAATATATCCTTAAACATTCTAACATCTAAAAAGAAATTTGAAAAGATGAAGCAAAAAATGAATTAACATTTCCTTGAGATATCTTGGCTATCAATGCTATTATCAAACAAAACACTAACAGGGAATATTTTCAGAATACTCCATCACTGCAAAACAAATTTCTCAATCCCTTGTATGTATTTCCTGAAGGTGATCATGACAAACACAGACTGCACATCTCATGCAAAGTCACAATATGCACTCCTCACAGTGATTTTTGCTTCTAATAAGGATGAAAGTGTTGCATACAGTGTTATAAATTAATTTTCTGAGAACTAGAAATCTAAGTGAATACTCCGAAATGAAAGCCATAACCAGATTGCAAGCTTATTACAATTATCTTTCAGGCAAGAATGTAAATTAAATTATGACTTCAGTAATACTGAATAGATAAGGCTTGTTTTCTTCAGAAATATTTTACTGCTTAGGAAACAGGGAAATAGATTATCTGAGTATCTGTGGTCATTCTATACATTTAAATATACAACTGGCCTCATTTTGTAAAGAACTTGATTTTATTTTGCCCTTGATGCCCAGATTCCTCAAATAAGTAAAAGTGTAAATTGGCAGTGAAACAATTTACATTCACAGAAAGCCCTTGATCAAATCATTTCACAAAGCACCACTAAGAGTCATTTAAACTAGGACTGAACCATCGCTGTTGCTGTTATGCAATACAGGAGCTGTCTGAAATTACCCTGCCTGTGCTACGCATCAGTAGAGATCTGAAAATGTGAATGCCTTATATGAGTGAGCAAGAAATTGAGTAGGAAGAAAGGAGAAGCATTGCAGATGAGATGTCATAGATAAAATTCCCATGCTTGCCATTGTTAACCCTAAAGATGTTTTTGCTAGTGTAAATAACTTACGTAGGGACACAACTTCAGTAGTAAGGGAAAAGAGGGCAGGGAATCCTGTTTATCTGCCAGCACAATTTCTGTTGGACTTCTTGCACGTGATGAGTGAATAGAGCAGATGTCTGCGTGTTTGTGATTTCTGCTAAAACCAAAGCTGGGTGGGATGGCCATGACAGTCTGATTCAGCTCCAAATCCTGGGAAATGGAAAGGAAATAAAAAGAGAAGGAACTTTTTTCCTCTATTTCTTCCTTCTAAGCCAAATGGACTTTGCCTGTCTGGTGAAGGTAACTAAATGTTCTAGGATCAGTTTGTCCTGCAGTGCTATGAAACAGAAGAGTGCTCACACCTATCAAGCATCTTCTCTACAGCACTTTGGTTTTTGAGGATTTAGTCCTTCTCATTTGAGGATATACTGGTTCAATGCACTGATTGCTCCCTCCAGTGGAGCTCTGCCCAAGCCTCCTCCTAAACAATAATACCATGGCCATCATGCTCTGCATACGGAAGGGAAGAATTTATTTAAGTACTTATTTACAGGTAAGTGTGCTTCAAATGGGATGCGGATTATCTTATGTGCAAGTTTATGAAAGTCTGACTACTACGTTAGAAAACTTTTAAGTTTTGAACAGTCTTTGGTGGCAGAATATGTACTGTGAACAGATAAGATGGAGCTACTCATAGGGGATTAATTAAGTAAAAGCTAAGGAACAAAGGTAGACTTGAGCTGTGAATTTCCATGATGGAGAACTTTTATTATTCAGAACGGTCACATCTAAAACTGGCAGTACTGAGTAGGCCGAGTGAAGTGACAGACAAGATTTCACAGAAAGAAATGCACAATTATGCACACGGAGAAAAAATACCCATTGCTAAGATTAAGCAGAGATGGGCCCTAAATTAACTATTACTGCCTAGAAGATCTTGTAATTAGCACGTCTACTTTTCTAGAAAGAACAGGCTTCCCAAGGAGGTGGAGGAGTCACCACCCCTGGAGGTGCTTAAGAAATTTGCAGTGTGGATGCGGCACCAAGGGACGTAGTTTATGATGTAGTTTATGATAACATGGTAGAGATGGGTTGATGGTTGGACTAGTTGATCTTAGAGATATTTTCTGACTTTAACAATACTGACATTGTAAGATGATTACCACAATAGAACAGTAAATATAATTTTATGAGTTAGGAAAAGAGTAGCAACTGAAATGATGTACTGCTTGTCTGCTACCATGCACCTAATGTCTGAGCATTGCTGATGGATCCAATATCCCCTTCCTGAATAACAAAACACTGAACTAGGAAAGACTGAGAAAAAGACAATGTGGAGTCAGAAGCAAAAACCAGACTCTGTTCAAAAGAATTGTCCATGAGCACATTATCGTTGATGAACTTGAACAAGAGACAGAGGAGCAATCCTCTGGCCTTCCAGAAGAACAAATGGATTCAAGAAGGGATTAGACAAATCAGTAAGAGCTCACTCCACTGTTGCTGCACACTTGTCCCATGTCACCATGCTTGACCAAAGGTAATGTGGAGCTGGTATCTCCCACGTATCTCACTGGCATTGTCCATCATCACAGCTCTGTTCCTAGGAAGCATCTTCTGATTATGGCATTTCATGAGGGATTTGTTAACACTTCAGATCTTTTATTTAATCACACCTTCAGGGTTTTATTTTTATCTAAGCAGAGCAATTAATAATGTAACCTTTTAAAGGAAGTCCCAGATCACTTGACTAGTGATAAATGACTCCACTTGACCTTAAAAAATCTTACAAACTTATTCATACTTCCATTCAGATTTCACTATAAGCTTCTCTCCGAATGTGCACAATTAGAACAGTGGCACCATGTGCCTGGATTAGACTCTGCAGAGAATTTGATCCAATAATTTACAGCATTAAAGACTAGTAGGCGATACAGACACTTAGGGTTTTTTTAGCTATTATTCAAGCTAAGAGTGAGTACAGAAGATAAGATGGCCTTTTACAGGACAATTAATTTCTTACTTCTTTCAGACTACGCAGTCGATGAGACTGCAAGAGAAAAATACTATGCATAAACAGTGATCTATACAGTCTTCTATTGTTGGAAATAAGGGAAATTAATGAGATACTGCTCATGTGTATACAAAATACACACTCCTTCAAACCAGATACACATATGTTTTTTTCCTACTACCATCAGATGATCCAAAATGTGATACAGTTGAATAATACATATGGATATCTAATTTAAGGAAAGATAATTATTCCAAGGCCATAACTCTAGACCCAAAGAACCCAGTAGAGAACAGCAGTGCTGCAGGAAGAGTTTCTAACAATGGATCTCCAGATGGGATCTAATTTTTTTTGCAGTGCACTTAACAAAAAAACTGTAACTTTAGGGAGATTTGAATAAAGAGAGCATCTAAGCTTCTAGGATTTTTGAGGCCATCAACCTCTCTTCCCATATCTCTCCCAGATATTTAAAGTATTTGTGTCAGAAATCCAGCCTGACACAGAGCTTGCACCTAGCAGATGATGCTTTCCCAGAAGGTGATTAATTGTGCAATGCTCAGCTCTAAGCTTGTCATCAAAAGAGAGCTTAAATTAAATAATTAAGACGAAAAATGATTAAAAAGAATTATTTCTATTTAGGAAGTGGGAAAGGTCTGTTTTCATTAAATAGCAGATAACTACAAATTCACATACATATATTAATATTTTTATTTGATTAAATTACCCACTTTTACTCTTCATAATCAAAATCATAATATTTCCCACACCTTCATATCATAAAAAAGAAATTTAGTGGCTCATATCTGAAGGTCCACATGCTTGGATCACTTTTACACTAAGCCAGAGCAGCTGTCGGATGCCAATACTTCTAACACTGTTTATTTCAATTAATTTTTTGGTCTTTTGGAAATAAAAATGGTTTCCTCTCACTTGTGAGACTCTTATGTTAGAAACAGTAGATTCTAACAGGATGTTAACATCAAATAATGATTCTTTTTTTTTTTTTTCATCTAGAATTTTCTTTGCTCAATCCTTTTAGTTGTAACTGCTAAGATTATATCTGGTA